ATTCTTTTAGTAAATCAGGGTGATTGTCTTGAAAGAGGACTTTCTGAAAGTGAAAACTCATTATCTCTCAAGGTAGAATGTTATCTTCCTAAGGGGAGCTTATGTTCTCAAAACATTGCTTTATTATCTGATCACTATGCAATTTTTATTTAAATAATCTTTATTGCACTGCTTGTTTGGCAAGTTTGCCATTTTGTTCAAATGTTTGTTGCAGTACGAGTAACCTCGGAAACCACTAAGCAACTCATCCACTCCCTTGTTATATCACGCCTTGACTACTGTAACTCCCTCCTCACTGGCCTACCTCATCGCAGGCTATCCCCACTCCAGTCCATCATGAATGCTGTTGCCAGACTCATTCACCTTACTAACCGCTCTGTATCTGCCACCCCTCTCTGCCAATCCCTCCACTGGCTTCCAATTGTCCAATAAAATTAAAAACACTAACACTGACGTACAAAGCCGTTCATAACACTGCCCCAAATTACATCACCGATCTTGTCTCTAAATACCATCCAAATTGTACTCTCCGCTCCTCGCAAGACCTCCTACTTTCTAGCTCCCTTGTCTCCTCCTCCCATGCTCATCTCCAGGATTTCTCACGGGCTTCACCCATCCTCTGGAACTCCCTACCTCAAGCTATCAGGCTATCGCCTACCCTGCTCACTTTTAGGCGCACTCTGAAAACTCATCTCTTCAGGGAAGCCTACCCTGATCCCGGCTAACTACTGGAATCCCCTACTCCCCCAACCACTCCATCCCCAAAGCTAATTACCTCTTGTACCACTATCCCTCTCCCTCCTAGATTGTAAGCTCCAAGGAGCAGGGCCCTCTAATCCCTCTGGTATTGAACTGTACTGTTACTGTACTGTCTCCCTCCATAATGTAAAGCGCTGAGCAAACTGTCGGCGCTATATAAGTCCTGTATAATAATAATAATAACAGGAATGCGTTGTGATTCCTGTCCGAATCACATGCGATTTCCCGCACCGCTATAGTGTGAATCCACTCCCACAGGGCAGCTGGGCACATACTCCCCATTTCTTAGAAGTATAGGGTATTCTTACTGGTTATAGAGAAGTAAGGAGGTACAAGCAAGTAAGGGTAAAATAAATATAAGGGGTCGGGGGATGCATATTCCAGAGACACTGTCATTTTACCTTTGCATCAGCAAGGTGACAGTGTCTCTTTAAACCAAAAAAAAAGTAATACCCATCCAAAGAATTCATAACAACTTTCTGTATTCCACTGTATGTGTTTGCTGTATAATTATAAAATTAAACATATTCTTATTTTACAGACCAATGAGACATGGATAAATGACCATTGTGAAGAGGTAACATGCCATGGAAACAACGTCACTACCCACAAGCCAATGACATGCCCAGAAGTCAAAGAGATAACTTGTGCTAATGGATTCCCACCAGTTAAGAGAAAGAACGCAGATGGTTGCTGTGACCACTACGAATGCCAATGTAAGTTTAATAAATGAAGGACATCCTTGCCAAGCAAGCTTTTGTATTAGATTAGTAATTTCTGGATTTGATATTAAATATGATTTAAAGTGGAATTCTGGGGTAGATTTACCTAATCTTAGAAATACTCCCTTCCCCCTCTTAACATCTATTAAACATCCTGTAGAAAAAAAGATCTCTGTACTTATCTATTTTTAGGCCTCTACAGTCCAGTCAAGTGATTGTATCCCCTGTGCCAGCTAGCAGTGGTTTCAGGGAAGAGGAAGGAGCACCGAAAGTGGATGGCCCATAGTATGATAGAATGCTCATGGGTGACATCACCACTCAGGCATTCCAGCCATTTTTGTACGCTCTCTCCTCTTCCCTGTTGCCGCCACTGGCTGATATAGGGGAGATTATGTGAGCTGACCGGAATGGCCTGAGAATATGTAAGTATATGCATCTTTCTTTCACAAGGTAGTTAGTAGAGGTGTTAAAAAAAGAGTGGGGAGCAGTTTTAAGATTAGTTAGATCTATCCCAGAATTCCACTTTAAACTGTATGTGTAGGTGAATTCAAGGCATGCCAAGAATGATAACTGCAACAGTTGCTTGTACTCTCAACCAAACTGTTAAACTATCAAATGGCCGGTGTTATAATGGATCATATGTGCATCATCATGGTAACTGCACATTGAACTAAGGCTAAGATGGCAGCTTGTTTGGCTGTGAAAGATAGGAGGGCTCAGCTTTAAGTTTAAAGTTTGTTCGCTTCCTCTCCTGGAAACACAACAAGAAGTGAGAGGAATTATTTACAAAGTGAAGGGTATTCCATTCATAGCTGTCAATGAAACAGATTTCTCTATTGGTTGATTTACCTTTTTCTTGTAGTGGTGACAACTGTAGTAAGTAGATGTCGTATCACTGTCTCACTATCAAGATTTAATTCAAAACATCCCTAATGGCAGATTCCTGGTGATAGTCCCCTTAAGAACTACCTGCACCTAATTCAAGAATGTATTTGTGCCTATGGCAGTGGACCAATAAAAAAGCTGCTATTAGAATGAATAGTGTCTATGGATCCACCCACTGCTCTGCACTGTCAATCAAAAGTTAAGGTAACCTGATTGGAAACTAGTCTTTCAGTTACCCGTCAGACTCTGTCCACTCCAATACAAAACTCCCTGGCCATGCGCCATTCAGTGTGATGGGCGCAGTGTCAGGGAGGGTGGGGTTGCACTCAGGGCAGAGTTTCCACACCAGATACTCCTTCTTCAGTACACATGGACAGGTTCCTGTACCTGTCTGTGACAGGTGCATGAATCAAGCACAGACACTTTCAGTACTGCTCCCTGATGAAATTCTAAAGGGTGTCTATGCCACCCTGTATGAATTCCCTGTATAAATCAGGCACAACAAAAAAAAACTGTAATTTTCCTGTACTTGCAGCATGTTTAAAGAGATAAAAAAAACATTGAAGTGTGCAATGGTATTGCAGTGATGTACTAAATATAGTCAGTATTAAAAACTCCATCCAAAAAAATAAATAAATAAAGTTTTAGCTACACATACACTTTAGCATCCTTTGTTTTACGTGATGCAAGTGGATAATAATGCAGAAAAATTGTGTGCCTTCTTACAGGTGTCTGCAGTGGATGGGGTGATCCACATTACATAACATTTGATGGAGTCTACTACACTTTCCTGGACAACTGCACATACGTCCTTGTTCAGCAGATCACTCCCAAGTATGACAATTTCCGCGTCCTTGTTGACAACTATTTCTGCGATGCTGAGGATGGCTTGTCCTGCCCACAGTCTATCTTGATCTACTATAAATCCAATGAGATTGTTTTAACACGTATGTTATACCAAGGACGGATGAAAAACAGGGGTAAGAGATGCATTTTTCTTTCATATGAAAACAGTATTTCCATTGTATTGTAGTCCAGTAGGACTTGGAATGGCACTAAACAATATCCAGAGGTGTTAGAGAGGAGGCAGGGAAAATGGGGGTCCTAGGGGGGAGATAAAGTTCTGGGAATGGGGTGGCATGTTGAGTTTTCATGGAGGAAAGGACCAAGATTATGCCCCACAACAGGTTACAGGGAGCGGTACAGATGTGGATAGATTTCCTGCTGCCCTTTCTCTGACACTGTGGACCAAATCTAATTCAGGAGGGTTGCAAGATCTAGTATCATCGTGGGTTAATTTTGACTGTATGTCGAAACTGTGTGTGGGTGCACTAGGTGGCAGAAGGTTTTACTGTATTTGTATTTGAAAAGGTGCCAATGGGTCCGAGTAAGTAAAAGTCGGGACACACTGTCCTGGCTAAAATTAATTATTTTCTCCATAGTGGACACCTAGTCCATGCAAGGGAGCCATACCTAAATTGTAGGAGCATGTGGGAATCTGTAATGTTGTGGTATTAAAGATTTTGTAACTTTCAGCAGGTGAAGTACTGGGGAATGCTTGTAATGTTTCATGTTCATACGTGATGGGGCAGGTAAAATCCGGTTAAAAAGGGAGAGCAATGTCAGCGATTAGGCAGTTGATTGTAGACCAAAATGGTTGGATCTGGGGCAGTGCCATACTATGTATAAGCCTGTGCCATTGTTACATCTCCAGCTGGTGTCAGGAAGATCTTTTGAGATGTGGCAAGAATACTACTTGGGTCAAGTACCATCTGGATCTGAGCTTGCAATTCATCTCTTGAATATTAACATTAATAGAACCCTGGCAAGATAGGATACTCATAAATTACTACTCCTCCACTTTGAAGCCCTTTGCAGAGAGTGTTAGGAACAAGTGCAAGGAGATCTTTCGATATAAGATGGGAAATGATGTGTGGGAGAAGGATAGGGATTCAAAAGAGGTGGGTGGTAAAGCATAGTGTGACCTGGTTTGGGGGTCATTCAGAAGTGTTGGAGATGGACATAGGATCAGGTTGACACTGGATTGACCTTGTTCATGGTATTCAGTGTGAAATCCACAAAAGTTACCATTAGTTAGGAACATTCAAGTCTAAGATTCAGGGCAAGGTGCCAACCTGAAAGAAAATCTTGGTCTGGACCACAGCTATAGTTAATTACTTGCATTGGATTCCAGATTGAATCAGTGGTTGCTTCCAATGGCCATAATTTAGGATTGACTGTATCCTATCCTCTTCACTCTACAGATTAGGTTCAACAATAACTGGATCTCTCCTGGTTTCACCAAGGATGGCATTACCATCACTACAGCTGGTATCGACATGAATGTGGAAATTTCAGAAATAGATGCCTTCATCTCATTCAGCGGAATGATCTTTGTCATTAACCTGCCATTTAGTAAATTTGCTTACAACACAGAAGGACAATGCGGTATGTAAACAGCTCTTAAAACTTGAATTAATTATTAGCGATATTGTTTTCTGTAAAGTTTTACATTATACTGTTAAGATTGTGTGAAATAAGTTTGCTACTTTTTCCCACAAAGGCACTTGCTCCAACAACAGCACTGAAGACTGTCGAATGCCAAATGGCAAGATTGTAAAAGATTGTTCTTCCATGGCTCCTCACTGGAGGGTCAATACCACAGCACCTGGCTGCAGTAAACCTCCTCCTCCAACACCACCTAATCCAACTCCAGCACCAACTTGTAAACCTTCACGTTTATGCGATATCATCTTAAGCGAGTAAGTTATAGTCTAGTTATATAATGAATGCAATTTGCATTAATGTTCCTTTTTCATCACTTTACAAGCATGTTCAGATCAAATTGAAGATTAAAGCAAAACTCATTTTTTTTAATTATTACTAATAAAGTGCCTAGGAAAAGTAAAAAAAAAAAAAAATTTTTTTGCAATACTCATCTTCAATCTGGAGTGTTTTCTGGCCACTAGATGATCTCCACCGTCAGTCAACCCACTTCCACTGAGCCCAGGTTGCCACCCCATAGGGCTGCATCATTACACCAACCTACCTAAATCAAACAGACTGGGGCTGCACACTGGCAAAATCAACCATAGAAAGAATAGTAGAATTCTGGCTTCAGCTTACTCCCCTCCCATTGGTCCGCCCCTCTGACATGTTTCCCGCTGATTGGGTTTAATCATAGGGCGGATATAATGCATGCTATTGTTTTTACACAGATGATGCATGATAGGTTCACTTTAATTCAACTCCTTCTCTTTAAAGTATCTTCGCTGAGTGCCACAAGATTATACCATACAAACCTTACCATGAAGGTTGCGTCTTTGATGCCTGCCGTATTAGCAACGATTCAGTGCAATGTTCCAGCTTGGAGATTTATGCTTCCATGTGCAATGCCAATGGAATCTGTGTAGACTGGAGAGGAAAAACAGGAGGCCATTGTCGTAAGTAGTATAGCTGACTCTAGTTTAAAATGTCCATGTTAGGATAGTTGATTTTAACTCTCTCTATCTATCTATCTATCTATCTATCTATCTATCTATCTATCTATCTATCTATGTGTTGCATGATACATTTTTTTTTTTGCTTTTAAAATATAGCATACAACTGTCCTGCTGGAAAGGTGTACAACCCCTGTGGACCAGTGCATGCTAAGACCTGTGAAAACAAGTAAGATATATTAATAAATGAAAGCTTCCTTTTTTGCAACACCGCTTCCTTATTGAAACCCTGCCCGTTCATTTGTTATAGCTTTCCTTCTCATAAACCGCACCTCCTGAATTAATTGGAGTACATGGTAACTATACAAAAACAGAATTTGGGGAAAAGTACTCAATCTTATTTTGTATTGGGACCTACTCTGCTTACATTTTTCATAACTACAGTAAAACCTTCTCCTGGTCCATCCTGTATTGATCTAAACTTGATATACTGAACTATAGAATTTTAAGCTGATTAGCTCAGTGTCTATATTGGTATAGACAAGGGCCACAATAATTAGTTCCAAATTGTGCTCCACCACAGTTCAAATGACATTACTGCATTTTCTTGTTATAGACACATGGAAAGTGTCAACACTGGTAAAACAGAAGGCTGCTTCTGCCCATCTGGAACAACCCTTTTCAATTCCTTCACTGATACTTGTGTCAAGAGCTGTGGTAAGTATGCAAAATTTATATTCTAATCACCGAAATTAGTGATAAGCAACTGAGAGGACAGAGAGGACTATAAATAGTATAAATCTACTGTAATTCTTATAATTGTTTAATTCCTAGTTCATTCTTAAATGTCAATTACGTCATAAAAATGAGTTTTCTTATTTCTTTCTTGTAGCCTGTGTTGGTCCTGATGGAATGCCAAAAGCTGTAAGTCAGACTTATTTAACCTTTTGCTCATTAAATATACTTGTTAAATACCATTTCAATGTAGTCTGGATTTTTTTTCCATAGTTTTATTTGTACAAATTTTTTAGTATTAGGAGTATTAGTATTGTCCCTAAAAAATAAAATATGCTCACTTTAAAAACACTTTACTAAACCTAATCCCTTGTGTGTATGCTCAATGCTCCTGTGGAAGAAGTGTTGTCATTCTGGAAAATAACAGTTGTAAACTGATAGACTGCAATAAGCAGCTACAAGTCTAAAAATGGCAGTTGTAAGCTGATAGCTTGCAATGAGCAACAAAAAGTTTGAAAACGGCAGTTGTAAGCTGATAGCTTGCAATGAGTAACAAACAATTTGAAAATGGCAGTTGTAAGCTGATAGCTTGCAATGAGCAACAAAAAGTTCAAAGATGACAGTTGGAATCTGATATATTGCAATAAGTAATGACAAGTTTGAAAATGATAGTTGGAGGCAAAAGTAATTTTGCCTTTGGAAGACTTTTCACACTGTGCATCAGATTCTCAATACTATGTTGTAATTTCCTCTTTCCCATGCCTCCTTCCTGTGCCTTTTGATACCAGATATACAGTATATTTAAGTGCATTGAGCCAAATAAAATCCATTCACTGTGTTTTTGTTTACCCCATGCTCATAATACCACTGGATAAGCATACTGTATAGTTATATAGTTATCACAGAAATATTAGTATTACACAAGTACAGGGTAAGTTATTATTATTATTATACAGGATTTATATAGTGGCAACAGTTTGCTCAGCGTTTTACAATATAAAGAGAGACAATACAGCAACAATACAGTTCAATACAAGAGGGTTAGGAGGGCCCTTTAAAAAATTTCCACATTTACGGCATAAATAGTAAAACGTTTCCCTACAGAGTTTCTAAATTAGAAAATTGAGGCTTTCTAGTAAATTCTAGTCTTTTTTAACAACATGTAATTGAATTATCTTTTATATATTCACAGCCTGCAGAGACCTGGACTAGTGGCTGCAAGAAGTGTGTCTGTGAAGCAAATTCCCTTACTGTTCAGTGCGAGCCACTGTCTTGCCCCAAACTAACACCCGATCACCTGTGAAAAGGAAGGCTTCATCCCATTGACTCTGCCAAACCCAGAGGAACCATGCTGCATGCGAACTGAATGCCGTAAGTGGACATCTTATCTGTATATTTTTACAATCTAATCACTGATCATGCCATCTACTGCTGTAGGCTTACTGACATTGATCTGTCTGCCCATAGAATGTAACAGTACCTACTGTCTGCACAAGGAAAAGAAGTGTGAAACTGGATTTGAAATTACTCCTGTACTTCTAGAGGATGACTGCTGTCCAAAATATGAGTGCAGTAAGTACCTAATTAACATTTCTCCACTTAGATGTACTCTATGCTTGAAAAAATACTTGGTACTGTTTGAAACATCAGTTGTTTCTATTGGGAATTTTTAAATAATTAATTTATAATTTAAGAGCTGTTTCAGTTATTTAAGATAGTAGTTCCCAGTGCACATAACCTTGTAGAAGAGAAGAGAATTTTTAGCTGCTTGTGATTGCACTTATCTGACCATCACAAGCAGAAACACATTGCATTTAATAAAGCTGTTCATTTTTTAAGTAGTCACTTTGCAAAGTGAATTTTTACTTATCCTTTTAGAAGAAACAATGTGAAAATTCACTTTACAAAGAATACCCAATCATGTGCAAACAAAATATTTAAAAAAATTGATTTTTGCTCATTTAGATGCATGAAGTCAGAAAAACTGCACCTCAATTGCTAAGCTAAGTGAATTTTCTGTTTGAAAAATGAATTTCACTTTGCTTATTGAATGAAGTGTACTTGTACTGACTTCAACCTGGTCTAATCTGGTGCAGTTGTGCATGGAAGCCAATCAGCTTCTACATTCAGCTTGTTCAATTAGAGTCCTTGGGGTGGATCCGTTTAGTGGATTTGCTTGCTCAGCTCTCCGGTGATCCCCGCTGAGGAAGAGGATGATAGCTCTGTGTCTGCCCCGCTGCTGAAGAGCAGACACAGAGCTGCTCACTCTCCTCAATAGACAGTTGGATGAAAAACGGACCACCTGTCCATTTTCATCCGACCTGATCTGACAGACAGAAGGGAAATTGGATCCCCATCTGTCCCTTTTCGGCGAATTGGATGTCGGAGAGTGTAAACGGACACATGTCCGTTTACACCCGCCGCTCCATAGAGGAGAATGGAGATTTCGATCGGGTCTGCCTGAAAAGGGCAGGCAGACCCAATCAGAACGTCCCTGTGAAAGAGCCCTTAAGCTTTGAAAAAAAAACTGGAAGCTGATTGGTTTCTCTGCAGAGCTGCACCAGATTTTGCACTCTCCAGTTTTAGTAAATCCACCCCTACATGCTTTGTATTGGTTATACAGCTTTGATCCTCAAGAAACTTTTAAATCCATAAGAACTTACTTTCACCATATTGCCTAGTTACATTACATGCATAGCAAGTTAGGTAAGGCCAAGCACATCAAGATCAGACTTGCAAAATTCCAAACAATTTGATAGAAATGAAGACAAAACTATACACTACTGAAGTTAGATTCCTTTCCTCTGGCTGGTAACTTCTACTATGGTTATTATTGCATCACAATGCTGTTTGGCCTTCTATATATCAAGAGAAAGCATGTGATGGGAATCCTGTAATATTGCTTCATCATGAATCCATTGTTTTAATGTAAAATAAAGATATGAAACACATATATAAAATTACAGTTCAAAAGCAATAAATAAATAGACTCCAGGCCACTACAGCTTACATTTAAATTCAATTAGTATTATAACTTTATTGAGCTGAACCAATTAACATGGTTCTAAATCTTTTTTGCCACATAAAACTTAATTTCAGTGCATAATTAGTAATTATTCAACATTCACAATAGCTTTGTAGATTACAAATTTGATGGTATCATCACAATAAGAATATCCTAACATGTTCTTGTATTTTTCCACAGCTGTAATGCCAGTCTGTGTTTATCATGATGAAACCTTTAAGGTAAGAATCTTATGGACAGTAAAACATTACATTTTACTGTGGAAACAAAGCTCAAAATGTGATATAATGATATGGCTTATATGGAAACATAAAGTTTTTAATAGAGGAAAATTATTTTTGAGGTTTTGGATAGCGTGGGTATTGACATTTACAACTTAAACAGTTGGGGCTGTGGAATGATTTCTCCTCACGTTATGTTTCAGTGACAACTGTGGTCACCAAGACAGAGAGGGAAGGTGAAAATCTCTGGTGAGGAGACAGAGAGAGATAATTCTAATTCTTTCACGCTCCATACAAAACCATTTGCCATTAGATACACCTTAATTATGTATTATAACACTATACAAGATGATCTGGTATCTGCTTTACCAGGTCCACTTCTCATATCTATAGTTGCCTTATAGACCTGATCAATTTTTGAAAATGTTTCTAAGCTGTTAGAAATGGACTAAAGCTAACTTTCATGTAATTGTTGTGATATTTGAGAATGAATTACTTCATAGTACAAGCAACTAGAGAGGTCAAGGATAGTTTGTTTTTAAGCTTTTTTACTGCTAGTTACAAATATGATTTTATCTTGACAATACTGTCTTAACAATATTTTCTATTCAATCTATAGAAAAATATGTAACACTGCAAAACAATACTCTTTTCCTAGTTTTACCATTAGTTGTAAAACAACAAGTGTTACTGTAGATATACAAGTGCACATTTGTTTCTATAATTTGCCCCTTATTTTGTACAATGCATGGCAAAATTATTTGTCAGTGAAATAAATGTGACATCTATTTTTCAGTTTTGCATATTTTTGCTTATATAACACTAAAAAAATAAATGAACCCAATAAACAAATATATACAAAGTTTAAATATTATTACTTAAAGGAGACATATAGCCAAAGCTTTTTTTGCTGTACTTGGATCACAGGACTGCAGTTCGTTCTGTATTTCTGTAACCTGGTTTTTCCTGTGACCCAGTTCTAAAGCCTGCTGTCAGTTGACATCACAGAGCTGGTCCAGATTTTGAAAAGATCCCAACGACATGGTCGGGATCCACCCAAATGCCTGAACCGGCAGCTGACTCAGCCTCTCAATAATGCTCCAGATGCTCCCAACCCCTCCACAGCCCAGTGCTCCAGAGAGTGCTTGAGGAGCAGAGCAGAGAGCCGATGATTGACAGTCACCAGCTCTCTGCACACTGAAGCCAAAGGCTGAGTAATCAGTGGTGTTTGATCACCCAGCTCTGGCCTTAGAGCTGGTGGGGGACAGATGCTGCATCAGATCAATGCTGCATCCACCTAGGTGAGTGTATATTTTTTTATTTCATGTTTTTTTTTTTTTTTACCAAAAAAAAAACGTTTATTGAGAAAGTGCATAATAATACAAAAGAAATGCGAATGATAGTCATATACAACATTTGGCAATGCATACCGGGAAAAAGTAGGAATATTCTTACAAAGAACCCCATATGGAACATGGTTGTGCCAGTCCACGACGGGGAAGTCTGTAATACTCAGGCAGTATAGTAGTGTGCATGGGAATGTTATCGCGTCGGACCTCCTTAGTATGTAATTCTCACTGGAGCGCCGCAGAAGGAGGCAGTGTAGATGCAGCACAACCGTTGAGGACGAAGCTAGTTGTTTTACTAGAGTGAAGGTGCCTGTAAGTAAGCTTAGATCGTCGTGAGGGTCGCTAATGTAAATAGGATAAGTATGACAATGGCATGCCTAATGTTCTCTAAAGAGGAACCCAGTGGTTGACTGGGCGTGTAACAGGAAGATAAGACGAAAGAAAAGGAGAACAAGAAAAGAGAGAGAGAGATAGAAGAGAAAAAAAAAAAAAAAGGGGGGGGGAAGGGGGGGGGGCGAACTGGGTTCGTATTGTCGTCAACACCAAGGGTCTTCTATGGGTGGATTCGAGCATAAGTCTATTAACCGGAGCAGGTAGGTGGGGATAAAGCCCTGAAGGTGAGGAAGTCGCCTACCGAATGATCTAAAGTGTGGAGTAACATACAATGGAGGTTAGTATTCAATCAGGCGTGTTGGTTGGATGGTCCATAAAGGACCGGTACGTAGGAGTGGTTTTAAAGTGAGTCCAGCAGGCCCAAGTATGGGAGTATATATTTTTTATACTTACACCCATACAAAAAGTAAACAGCTAAGGAAAAAGTGAGGATAAAGCTGACTTAGGCTAATTAAGGTTAATAAGGGGTTACTAAGGGGTTTAAGTGTGATTCAATTAGATCTGAAACACACAAGTCCTCATTGAGACACTTTAATACATAATGTCTTGTTTTTATAAAATTCCTTACAAATGTATATAATACAAATAAGGGTCTAATGTAGCACAACCTTAAATCTTTATTTTATGAAGTAAAATAAATGATAGTATTATATGGAAATTAACCCCTCTTTTTTCCTTTCGTAGCCTGGACATAAAATCCCTCAATCCCCAGATTCATGTCATGATTGTATGTGCTCATATGACATAGATGCCGTGACCTTACTGCATGCAGTGAATTGCACACCCATTTATTGCAAGAAGGAATGTGACAAGGTTAGACTTTAACCTGAACAACAATTGTAACAGTATAATGTTCTCATAGTGTCTCTAACTGCTATTAATTCTTTGTTTTAGGGCTTCCAATACATGGATGTACAGGGTCAATGCTGCGGTCAATGTGTACAGGTTGAATGTATAATGAAGATGAAAAATGATGAAATCATGACTATTCCAGTAAATACCTTTATTTTCTATGGTGTGGAACAAGCCCCTATTGTGTTATCCTTCTGTATTTGGCCCTTACTTCAATTTGAGTTTGGGTTGCTGTCATTTAGAATTGTGTACAATGGACATGCTGCAATACCATATGTTGCCAGCATTTTCAGATGAAGAGGTAGAATTGAAATTGCACATACATGTTAAACGAAGCTGGTGTGTGTCTGTGTGTGTGGTATTCAGTACTTATTTGCACATTTAAAATATAACACAAGTAGACTAATCAACTGAATTATATTGATTGCTTTAAGAATGTTTTCATTTTGTTTTCTAGCCTGGTGAGATCTGGACCACCTCTGCTGACAACTGTACTTACCATCAATGTGTCCAAAATGGAGACCATTTTGACATTCATATCACAAGCAAGGAATGTGCTGTACCAAGTGAAAAAGATTGTCCACTGGTAAGAATACCCTATCGCAAAAATAATATATTTATTAAAATATTTTTGGTGGTTCAAATATCAAACAATATTTCATTTCTCCCAGGGCTACAAATATGAGAAGGCTGAAGGGGAATGCTGTGGCAAATGTATGCAGGTGGCTTGCGTAATGAAAATGAAGGACAGTACAACACAGATTGTGCAGGTACAGCTTGATAAATCAATGATGATTAGTGATATATAAATTCACATTTGGATTCTGAAGCTTTTACAGTGCTACTTCATCTACAACATGAAACACTATTGTAAATCATAAAAGAGTGTTAATAAATAAGATTTAGACTGGATAATGGTAAACAATTTAATACAAAGTAGCAGGTATATCTAGGCAGTTTATTGTGTAATAGGGATAAAATAATGGCAGTATCCCATAGGTACCGGTTACATTTCAGCCTATAGAAGACAGATCAGTGAATGCTCTTTGCCTTACTGAGTAACAGGATGGGACCAGGTGGGAAAGCTTTTCCTCAGTACCAATTATAAAAGATATGTTGGACTGGTGGCCTTTGTTAAAGTGGAACTGCACAGCATCTGAGCACCAAAAATCAAAAGTGCTATTTAATTCATTGTTAATATCCAAAGCAAATTCACCTATCCATCCATGTCTCCATGCTTTATTTTTCTCAGAATTCATTTTGATAACAAAAACCCCTGACATTTCTGTCAGTGGCCATTTTGAGTAAGGGCAGATAATTCATGTAGCATTTACTTCCTGGAATCCATCTGCCCTTAGCTCAGACACTGGCTGAGCTGAGAACCCTCCCCTTCTGAAGACTCCTGGGTTTGTATACCATCATTTAGCTAGTCCTGGAAACCAGGAAGTAACTGAAGAAATGTACAAAAAAACTTTTAAAAAAAGTAAATATGATATGTTTTCCTATCTAGTTACTAATGCTAGCTGTGTAAGGATTAACAACAGTCCATTACTGAGTGAGTGAAGTTCTGTTTTAAGATACATCACCATTTAGACATCAGTCAGAGTGAAAATCAAAGTCATTGACACATGTTGGATATTATGGGGTTTATTTACTAAAGCTGGAGCATGCAAAATCAGACTCACTTCTGCATAGAAACCAATCAGCTTCCAGGTTTTATTGCCAAGCTTAATTGAACAAGCTGAGGTTAGAAGCTGATTGGTTTCTATGCAGAAGTGAGCCTGACTGTGCACTCTCCAGCATTAGTAAATATCCCTTTATGACAACCTGATCTTCATTAAGACCCATGATCACGATGCGAAAAAGAAGTCACCCACTACCAACTTCTTTTGTGGTTCTGTGATATCATATGACTGAATGCCAAGTGACGAAAAGGAAGCTAATGCTGGATAATAAGATGTGTCACCATAAAACATGTCCTCTAGAAACATCCACTGTTTACTATGCCCACCCACCATAGCACATTTTGCATGGTACATTTATATAGCCAATACAAATCTGTCCCTGTCATGAAAGGAATACTTTATTGTGTTGTCCCCCTGCTGAAGGCCTCAGTTTTCCCATGTTGAGTAAGATAGCATAAAACTGATGTACTTCACTTGATCAATTTACATAATCCAGCACACAATAGAGGAGATTCACTAAAACTGTTGCACTCAAAATCTGGTGCAGCTGTGCATGGTAGCTTCTAACAACAGCTTGTTTAATTAAAAAGTTCACCTTTAAAAAAAAAATAACAAATGCACATTTTTTTTTGCAGGTAAAAAAATTGCATTTAAATTTTTTAAAACTTTCTTAGGAGCCCAGATAAGCATTGCACCAGTAATCAGCAGATTGCTGGTGCCATGCAGGACTCCTGCAGACTGTCAGAGTATCTGTGTGCCTGTACATTATACTGAAAGGCAGTTTCACACTGACAGGTAAAATCAATGAATCACACAGTGCTCAACAGCGTTGTGGTAGTTTATTGAGAACTACAAGCCAACAGCTGCAAAGGACTCTCCGGTTTTAGTAAAAAGAAACCCCAGTTTATGTTTAATTATATATCAATCATGGAATTCATAAAAGCCCTAAATGCACTGTAGGGAGAAGTCTTGTAGTGAAATACAATGTAGTAGGCAACTACATGCCTAACTTCAGGACCAAAGGAGCCACACTGATTGCAAAGCTAATCACTATACGCCTTTGAAAGTTATATTGTACATTTGGTTGTTTGTATCTGAGGTTCCTACTTTTTGTTTTTAAAATAATGTTCTTTTCTTTGAAACATATTAGCCTGGTGAAACTTGGAGCCCATCTAATGAACCATGTACCAAATATAAGTGCGAAATTACTGAGGACCAGTTTATCCCTACAGAAGTCCCAACATCTTGTCCAAGTAATGAGTGCCAAGTGGTAAGTTTTATCTTTATATGAAAGGTACAGTCCAGTCTGCATTAAAATATAAACAATGGGATGTATATTATTATTATTAATATATTATATTAGGATTTATATAGCGCCAACAGTTTGCTCAGCGCTTTACAATATAATGGGAGACAATACAAGAGGGTTAGGAGGGCCCTGCTCCTTGGAGCTTACAATCTAAGAGTAATGATAATAGCCCTCCTACTGAGTAGTTTTTCATTCTAACATTTTGGGACTGCACTAATCCATGATACTTTCATTTGTCTGGAACCTGGTTATCATGAAGTACACCTGCTGGTAATGCTGAAACACCCTCCAGGCTGCATCTCTCACACAAAAAGCCTGATGTAAAATACATTCTGCTACTAAGAAGTTTCTCATAGCCATCTCTCAGATTGTGACCTGCACTGGAAGTTGTAATGTAATTAGCAATGCAGGAAACAGAAAATGGAAGTTAGAGTTCATCTCTACAGGATTTTGACTTGGAGCTGATTTTCTTCTTTATACAAGTCAATATGAATGCAACAGCCACCCCAACCAACTTAAAGCAGCTTGTTTCTTTGTTTTTTTTCCTTTAAGTTCAATTTTCAGGTTTGTAACTAAGGGAGGATATTAGGGAACAACGAAAATAGGGAAGGTAATAACAATCTTTATAACAAAGCATGGAAAATGTTGACCAGGATGTCTATGTAAAATATGTAGAATACTAAGATACATTTTTACAGCCACCAGTCCACACTGTTTGAATTTATTAATACTAGAAAAGGGTTTTTTCGATGTTTTCTCAGCTGCTTTTGTTTAATACACAAAGCATTGTAAATGCAAAAGCAACTTAAGACAACTTGAAGCACCCCATAAACTATTGGAAGACCCTTTGAGCTCAAAGGGAAAGCAAAGCAATTCAGAAGCACCTGGTAGTACATTTGACCTGCTTCTGAGTATTGATATTCAGTGTTCAGCCCTATTGATCCTCTATAGATCTGTGTGTGCCTTCTGACTTAATGCAACATTTACTGTATAGCATTAGTAGCTTACTGATTTATTTTATTTGTTGCTTAAGGCTCCATGCACACCAGCTTATTTTTATGCTCCTAGCAGCTAATCATCATTTTTTTTTCTCTGCCCCTAGAAGCAATAGTTTTATCTTACCTATCCATGCACACTATTGTATTTAGAAGCGTTTTTCAAGCTTCAGCTTCTAGGGAGAGAACAAACGCAGTTTTTGCATTTTTGGGAGTGATTTGGCAGCAGAGAAAAAAAAACACCGAATGCTCCTAAATACTCCTAAATGCTAGTAAATGTTACTAAAATGCTCCTAACAGCTCTCTACATGTTCCTCTACATGTACTGTTAATAAAACGGTAAACCGTTACTAAAATGCTATTATCAGCATTTTTTATCGCTAATGTGCATGGAGCCTAAATAGGTTCTTTAAAGTGAACCCATCACAAAAAGCTGTAAGCAGTTATAGAATACAAACACCAAAATATGCCTGAACACGACTATATGAGTTTTCCCTGCTGCTGCTATGGGTATGTCAAGACATTCTAAATAGGCAAAGCTTAGACACTAGTCAATGGCTATGTGTGGGAGATGACTAGGATGGGCAAGCTTCCAAACTACCTGAAAGTGCCGAATCTGATCATATTGTTCCGAGGGAAGCACTGCAATTGCTGCAAGTAATAACACGATTTTTCAGGTTTGTAATTAGGAAAGTCACACTCCAGAAATAATGATGTTTTAAATATATTTGTACTGAATTTTGTTTCTTTCTGTCAGGGATTCAAGTATGAAAAGGTTGAAGAGGAATGCTGTGGCAAATGTATACAGGTGTCTTGCGTAATGAAACTAAAGGATAATACTACAAAGATTTTGCAGGTACATCTTAATTAATCAATGCAGATTAGTTATATCAAAATAGGCTTTGCATCTCTAGCATCTAAGCAGGGATAACAAATCTGCTGCTATATGTCTTATGTCATTTCTGGGATTCCATCCATGCAGCAGACTTCCTAATTTTCATTATCTTAGCAGACATCTAAAAATATAAAGCAAAAGTATTTCAAATGATATAATAGCAATCATAAAAGCCTTAAGCTGCATCTAGCATGTAAGCTTGTTATACTGTAGGATAAAACATGAGCAGGAACTAAACTGGGACTCTTTATTCTCATGTCCAACTGTGCCACACTGGTATCCTTGCTCTGAGCGTTGGGTTTTAAACCTAGTATTTTGTATCTGTGTTTCTACATTTATTTTGTTTATATTAAAAATGTTCTTCTTTTCTCTAAAAAAAAAAACAGCCTGGTGAAACATGGAGCCCACCTGATCAACCATGTGTGAAATATGAGTGTGAGATTATCGACGACCAGTTCAACCCAACAGAAATCAGAAGAGCTTGCACAATTGAAGACTGTCCACCAGTAGGTTTATATACCGATTGTAAAAATTCTAGTCTAATTTGATACATTTCACTTGAGTACAAACCTGCTACTGAGTAATTCAATTTGCATCTCTGCTATACTACAATAGTCCATACAGCTTTTGTTAGTCTTTAATCTGGTGATCCTGGAGAGCACGTGCTATTAAACCGTGTACTTTCTATGCCCCCTTCACCACACAGAAATCCTGAAGTGAAATGAATGCATTGAATAAGAGGCTTTTCCCAGCTGCCAGTCTGATTCTAACCTGCAGTTTGAACTGCTTTTCTTCTCCATACTAGTTCAACTCTAACTCAAAGCAGTTTTTGACTTTTACCTATTTCCCAAGATTGCTCTCTAATATTTATCTCATTAGCTTAGTATTAATGATCAGTTTTCAAGCTTAAAAAAATAGAAGGGCATTGGGGGCAAAAAAAAAACAGGGAACGTGATAACAAGCTGGTAATATTTGAAACAAACATTTAAAAAAAATTTTTTAGAGGTCCTTTGTTGTGCAGAAACTACTGCCAGTAAAATGTAAAGATTTTACATGTGATCGGCTTTTCAGAAAAACAGGTAGTCGAGCTATATTACATGTCATTTTCTTGCATGCAGTGTATTGCTCGTTCTAATTAATGTTTCCTTTTTATCAGGGTTCCAAGTATGAGACTGCTAATGGGGAATGCTGTGGCAAATGTGTACCGGTGTCTTGTGTGATGAAACTGAAGGACAACACTACAAAGATTTTGCAGGTAAGCCTGATGAATTAATGCTGATGAGTAATATTATAATAAGCATGGCATGCCTTGCACCTAAGCAAGAATGACAATTCTGGTGCTATATGTCATATGTCAGTTCTGGAATTCTGCCTTCCTTGACTTCAAGTTCTGTGCAAACACCTGCAAATGTGGACTTACAAAATATATTTTAAATTTAGTGACATTTTGTTATTTTATTGTGAATATTCTATTCACAAAAATACTAAACTATTTAGTGGTGGTTTGCAGTGAATTGAAATGTGGAAAGAAACTAAAGTGGGACTCTTTATCCTTGGGACCAAATAAGTCAATCTGGTAGCACTACAACTCTGAACATTTACTTTTAAGTAATGTTTGTGTCTGAGATTTCGACTTTTTATTTACATGCATATTGCTATTTTCTTAAAAAATCTAGCCTGGTGAAACATGGAGCCCACCTGATCAACCATGTGTCAAATATGAGTGTGAAATTATCGATGACCAGTTCCACCCAACAGAAATCAGAAGAACTTGTCCAATTGAAGACTGTCCACTGGTAGGTTTTTTCCTATTAAAAAATTTCTACTTTAATTTATAACTTGAATTCTTACAGGTAGCACATCCCTTCTACTGAGTAATTTCAATATTTCAGACAGACACTGCTGTACTAGGCTAGTTCATGCCACTTTCTTTTGTCTGTAATCCATGGATCCTGGAGAGCACCTACTGGTGATGTTGGAGCACCCTCCATGATGCCTTTCTACAGAAATTCTGATGTAAAATTGATTTTACTAAAAAAGCCACTAGACGCGGCAATTGGAAGTTTGAAGTTGCTTTACTTCTACATACAAGTTTGTGTGAGGGCAAACGACACTCAAAGCAGCATGAGATTTCTCTCTACTGTTTGTTACAATGGAAGGGAATTAGGGGCCAAGAAAACAGGGAAAGCAATAACAGATTAGGAATTTTTAACCGCTTACTGCCTGCCCACAGTAGTTGTACTGCAAGTGGGAGGCAGCTGTAGACTGGGTGACTTACTGGTACTTTGCAACCTTTCTTCTGGTTTGGGGCATGCAGGTGTGTGCCCCCTGCTGACCCATGCTGTGATTGGACATCATACAAGTTTGGCAGCATTTAAATTAATGATTTTGGCTGAAGTCAGCTGATTGGTTGTATCCAATCATACACAGAGTTTTGTGTTTACAAAAACACAGAGCTCTGTGTATAGGGAATAGTGATCTGCCTGTTTCTTGGGAGAAAAAACAGACAGATAGTAAAGTAAAAACAGAACACATTACAGATAGTTAGGCACACAACTTGATTGCCCCTAGATGTTAACCCATTCCCAGCCAATGTCATTAGTACAATGTCAGTGTACAGTATTATCACTGATCACTGTACTAGTGTCACTAGCAATGTCAGTGTCAGTTAGTGGTCCTCCCAGATAGTGTCTCTTAGTGACAGATTGCCTGCCAGTCAATCACAGTCCATAATAACTCACTGATCACCGCCATTACAGTATAGCGTCATAGCTACGTAAATTCCAGTATATATACCACAGTTCACAGATGCTATAACTTTCACACAAACCAATTAATATACATTTATTCAGATTTTTTTTTACCTAAATTTCTAATCAAATTTGATTTTGTGATTTTTTTTTTTATTAGATACGTTTTAAAACAGAAAGTAGAAGATACTGGTTTATTTTCTTTTTAAATGTTCGGTCTTTTTTTAAGTTTATATCACTAAAAAATAAAAAAAAACAGTGATTATCAAATACCACTAAAAGAAAGTTTTATTTGTGAGGAAAAAATTATATTAATTTAATTTGGGGGGAGTGTTGCATGACCACGTAATTGCCAGTTAAAGTAGCACAGTACTCCATAGCAAAAAATGCTCTGCTTACAAAGGAGGTAAAACCTTCTGGAGTTCAAGTGCTTAAGGTCTGTGCAGGAGCCTGACAATTGAATCTACTCCTTGAGATAAATATTTTGACCAGAACATCCATTGTCCTAGAAAACATATCATGAATAAGGGATGAACATATGAAGCTGTGTACCCATAAAAAAACTTTGAATAAATCTCTGTCAATATACCTGAGGCTATGAGGCTGAAGTATTGTTACTTTTGCAGGGCTACAAATATGAGACAACACCAGAAAAGTGCTGTGGAAGTTGTGTAAAAGTTGCATGTGTTATGACATTGCCAGACGACTCTACTAAAATCCTGAAGGTAAATGTGTTGCAATTCTCACCTTATGAGTCCTATGCCATAAAATCACAGTATATTAAAATAATGTCAAGTTAATGACTTCTACAACTCTTCTGTGTTATGGTATATGATATATATATATAAAATACTATGTTTGTGAACTTATGAATTATGAACTTGTGAATTATGTTTGCGAACATGTTTCAGTAGTTACTTGTATTTTTTTTAGCCTGGAGAGGTGTACGTTTCGCCAGAAGACAAATGTGTCTCACATGAATGTACCAGTTCCCTTGAAATGAAAGAAGTGACCAAAACTTGCCCAGCTTTCAATCCTACAAATTGTTTGGAGGTCAGTATTTACGTACAATTTTTAACGATTTACCATAATAATATTATCACTAAATATGTATACCAATGTGAAACCAATATTTCTTTTTTAATAAATTCTTTATTTATATATCTGCTAAATTAATGAACATACATCTTATTTAATCCCAGTGAAACCCACAAATACCAACTGTAACAGATCCACTACAGTGCCATATCCATAGACTTTTACCACTTGTGGGCCTCATACCTAGTTACATGTGTATGAAAAAAATATAACAATTCATGTGCTATCCAAAGAACCTTCTATCTTTTAACAGGATCATTATTCTTTTCCCTTTCTACCCATAACAAAACAAAGCAAACAAAAAAAAATTCCACTAACCCTGCACTCAAACCTCCCCAACTCTCCCCTACATAGCCCCCCCCCACGTGTGGTGAGTTCCCACCTTGGGTGAGTCTTTATCTCACTGAATGCCTCACTGATTTTCCAAACCTGTTTGTTCTTTGCATAAAAGGTAAGGGGACTATATATTCCAGCATAGCTCACTCTGTTCTCTGTTAGCCATAGTTAAATATTCCATTATTTGGATTTCCGTTATTCTTGCCAGCCAATGAGACTTGGCTGGCGGATCCTGGTTTTTCTAAAAAGCTGAAATACATGCCTTTGCAGGTGCAATATGATGTTTTAACAAAGAGTTCTTACATTTCCTGTAAGAAAAAGAAACCAATATTTCTGAAGAAATGCACTAACGTTACTTCAGTCTAAACTAGTACACCTCAAATTATTTTGGAATTTCAGCCATAATAAAATTCGCCCCAAGGATACAACATTTCACTTTTTAGAGCTGATCTGTAAAATTGGCCTGTAAAATTGTAAAATTGTATTTATATTCCTGAAATACAATTATGTGGTGAAATACCTTGGAAACCTGTCAATGTATGTATTGAAATCACTTTGCAGTTTTCTCTAGGGACAATCAAGGCAGGGAAGCAAGGGATGTCTGTGACCACTGTGTGCAGAAGTCCCTGTGAGATAGAACAGTACAGTCACTGGCACACCCACTTCCCTTCCCACGTAGTATATGTTACTGAGTGGGTGGAGCATAGACATAGTGTATGCCCACTCCCAGATCAGTGCCTGTATTACCATTATTGGCTGGACAGTTTGTCTACAGTCATTTCTTGGAAAGGAATTGTATATGTCATGGCATTGCATTTTCTTAATGGCTACAGTCTACATCTAAACTGTGAGATTCAAGAGAATCACCTGTAAAGATAAACAATGTTCAGTTCCCAGCATGTAATCAGGTATTTTTAGTTAATGACATTTGTGGTAGGGACCCTTCTGTGGGTTTAAACAAATTTCTTTGTAAGACATTGCTTATACAGTACCTGACCACTTTGCTATAGAACTATAAGCAGTGTATTGCTCAAGATAAAAAAGAAAAGCATCACGTACTATTATGAAACAGGTAGTTTTATGCCACTCTGCACATTGCATGTCCTTGGGTATTGGTAATGGCTCATATTCACCTCCTACATGAACATGTATTGATCATGTTAAGAGACTTTATGTAGGGTATAGTTTGCTATTGTCCACACAAAAAATTACTGAAGAGTTGATCTTTTGGACAGCTTTTCTTTTCTCATTTCAGTCTACAAATACTTGATTTGCCTAGATTGCTTATCTGGGGCTGTACATGAAATTCAAAACTTTCTAAGTGACACAATAGTTATTTTTCCTCTATGTTTTTAACCTGCAGGGTACAATCAGGAGCACAGAAGATGGTTGCTGCAAGACTTGTGAAGGTAAATATCTTTTTTTAAATAATACTTGTTGAGATGGGATTAGAAACTTCTAAATGTAAACGGTAAGAAGATGACAGATGTAGTTCAGGAACCAATCAGACAATGGAAATATTACTACACCCAATACATGCCTTCCCTTTAAGCTGTAGGTTGTGAACCAGAAATCAAGGCTTACTCTTGCCCATCTGTTGTGTAATAGTACAATAGTGTGTACAATTACAATTTTGTTCAGTTTTGGTAACTTAACCTTTGTGATGCTTTATAGTCAACATATACTTAGTTATCAGATGATCATTTCAAAATCTCTAGCAGTAAAAAAGTTGCATAATGTCAATGGATACCTTAAGAATTTGTTCAAACAATGTTTATGAATGGCAATTGCTGTGATACAGGCCATATAAGCCATGTTTTACCTCCCATCAAAGATGACTTTCTTTTTTTTAAAAAAATGTGATATTCATATGGCTAATATTAATTGATTTGCTGTGTTCAAGGTGTTGTTTATCCTAAGATACATTTCTTGACTGCTGCAATAATTTCAGTACAAGTAACATTCCTGGTCATTTTCTTTGCAGACGGTCTGAAAGGATGCCAGGTTCATAAACAATCCCGTCAAATCAAGTCTGGAACTTGTGAATCAGATCAAGTTGTAGAAATTTCATACTGTGGAGGAGGCTGTATGACATCATCCATGTAAGATATTGTAGTTTTGATACTAATTTGCAATCAGTAATGTATAATAGCTTCGTTGGACATTGATCTAAAACTACTCCTCAAGCGGGATAAACCAGACCAATTGGCTGTGCTGTTACTGTTGCATTTATAGTAATTATGCTTCCATTCAGAGTAAAACTGGACTTCTTTGGCTGGTAAAATTATTATTATTATACAGGAGCACTTTAAAATATAAATGGAGACAATACAGCAATGATACAGTTCAATACAAGAGGGTTAGGAGGGCCCTGCGCCTTGGAATTTACAATCTAAGAGGGAGGGACTGGTGGTACAAAAGGTAATAACTATGGGGGATAAACTGGTAGCAAAATAGAAGATTTGGTTATTAACGGAAGGCAGGATAGGCTTCCCTAAAGAGATAATGAGTAATACCATGATAGATCAGCCTTTCTCACCCTTCTCAACACAAAGGAACCCTTGAAAACACTTTCTGGTCCCAGGGAACCCCTGCTAAAAATGACTATATCTACAACTCATGATACATTCGTGTGATGGTCAGTGTGAAGAATGCTCCTTACACATGTGATCACTGGGAAGAATTACTCCCTTTTAGATAGCGAAAAAGATCAGTGGTGTCAGGAGGATCTTATTTGAGAGACAGAAATTGCTCATTGCTTATTGCTTAAGGAACCCTTAACAATCTCTGAAGGGACCTTAGAGTTCCATGGAACCCTAGTTGAGAAACACTGTTACAGATTATTGTTCCAGGTAATATCCTATTACCTTGGGAGATCAAGAAGGAATGTATTCTGCATTGGAGCATATTGGACCATTCTTTGTAAGGATTTTTTTGCCTTCCTCTGGATCAACTGCACGTGCAGGATTTTAATTTTTTCATTTACTATTGGTTGAATTAGACGAACTTGCGACTTTTTTCAACCTTACTAACTATGTAACTGAAAAATTACCTATTGACCCTGCAAGAAATCTTGTGAGCTAATAATGCCCTGTGCTCTCTGTTTGTGCTATCATTGTCCGCAGCTTTCTCTGTGGACTTCAAAATACCCTCAATGTTATGGAGAAGAGAAAAGGGTAGGGGGTATTTTGTAGTACTGCCCTAGGGTGATAACATTGGACCATTATAGATACAGTACAGTAAGTGAGTGAGTTTTCAAAGGAAAGGTCAAAAACAGTTTTACTGGCAGGATCACCAGGTGACAAAAAGCTTAACAAATAAAACGAATGCAGTCACAAATTCTATGACATCAGCTGACAGTGGGCTTAAGCCTGCTACCAGCTGAAAATGAGTCACAGGAGTGCAGAACAAACTGTACTCCTGTGATCCATAGGAGAAGTACAGCCAAAAGAGCTTTGGCTGTACTTCTCCTTTTTAATTTTACACTTTTACCCTTGGTTTAAGATACACTATAACTTATAAAAATTGAATGGTGGAGTCAATGCAGGGTCTGTTGTCTTCCCATAATCAATAATCATTGACATCATGCATTCATCTTCACTGTCATGATTAACTGGCTCTATAAACAGCATAAACTGTTACATGGCATGGCAATACATTTCGACACAATAGCACTTCACAGAAGGACCATGGTAGACAGGCTTTTTAGTTGGACTTGCAATGCTGCTGCCAAAAGATGAGAAAAGGGCATGACCTCTAAGACTTAAGGCTTTAGCCTTATGCCTACTAGTAGTTGTTAATTTTTCTACCCATAATATGACAAGCTACGATATGTTCTCTTTGAAATGTGTTAATCTGAACATGGTCATTGGAAAGATCATTGTTTTTGTGCTCACAATCTCACAATGTGGTATTTTCAGGTACTCTGTTGATGCTAACAAAATGGAGCACAAGTGCAGCTGTTGTCAAGAAGTAAAAACAAGCAAGAAGAAAGTGAATCTGAAATGTCTGGATGGAACCAGTACTGTCTACACCTACCTCTATGCTGAAGAGTGTGGTTGTGCCACCACAGAATGTGATAAGGACACTCAAACCTCCATATCACAGCAAGAACAGGAACATGGCAGCCATGAACATGGCAGCCATGAACAAAAGCAGCAAAAAATCAACTGAACGATGACCTGAGATACACATATACTGATGAATGAACTATGAACTATAACCAAATATTAACCAACGTCTACATACTTTGGAGAATACCCTCTACCACTGGGCCCTGCTTTGCTTCCTCACTGCCAACATCTCTTCATTGAAGTTTCCAACTGCGCTTCCATGACATGGGACTTCTAATTATTGCTGGGCTTTTCTCTAAACTTTGCTTTATATAAATTGTGTTTCCTAATGTTACTTCCTATCATAAGCTATAACACAGTAAGCATCCCTTCGTCCTTGCATACAGAGTCTGTGGTAAATTATTATTTCAATGTCTATTTTCCCATTATAAAAAGTTGTTGAGCAGCTCTTCTATAGAGAGAATATATTTTTAATATTATTATTATTATTTTCATAACTTAAAGCAAATGTAGAGAATAATACTTAGATTTGTAGATTTAGCATACAAAGCATTTTATATACAATATGTTATGTAGTCTAAAGCCCTGCTAAACACAGTTAGGTAACATAACCTCAGGTCCATTTTTGCATTTCGTTAAATGAAGGCAACTATACTGTCACTTTTAGAAAATGAGATTCTGTTTACAACGTAAATATATTTAGATAAATCTAGTTAGCTAAACTGGATTTCACTAATGGGTGAACATAAAGATTGTACTTTCTATTTTTTGTTTAAATTTTCATTCTTAAACTTTTATTTTCTAAGGATGGGAACTTTGCTGTATTTATTTGTTTGAGTGGAAAATTGTGATAGGTATCTATAATCTTTCTTGTGGGTCATTGGAAAATGCGTTTGTCTCCAGAGTATAGAATTTGATTTCAATAAAACAATCTTTTAAGCATTTTATAATCTTGTTGGGTTTCTTTATATCCTTTATTCCTCCAAATTCTTTTTCTACCCCCAAACATGTATACATTCTAGTGTTTATAACTGGATACAACATTTTTAGTAAGAAATGTGTTCAAACATATTCGCATTTACAAATGTAAATGAACAGAGTACAAAATCTGATGAGCAGAGATATCCACAGTACCAAGGGAAACTGGAGCTTAATCTGATTTGTTAATTGCATACCAAAATACAGTATAAAATATTAGTTAACAAATTAATGATACTTGAACCATTTAAAATCATAGATTGGTTCTGATTATGAAGCTATAAAATATTACAGCCTACTAAAAACACGAAAAAAGTCACACACTGATTGTAGCATGATTATCTGTATTGTTTTAAACACATTTAGAAACAAATAAATAAATTGACGAAAAAAACATTGCTAAGCACAATTGAACAATTATTTATAATACTGTAGCAATGGCATTGTTGTATTGTCTGGTCCGCAATTTCCAGCAGAAACCTGCCCTTAAACAGACTGTTGTATTGTCTGGTCCGCAATTCCCAGCAGAAACCTGCCCTTAAACAGCCATAACAACTCATAAACATACCAGTAGTGATACAATAGACTGATTAAAGCAGGAGTAAGCCCTGCCAGAGAACTAATGGTTAAACAGTTTTAACAATGATAAGGATAGTCTACATACTCCTTTACTACAGAAACAAAGTAACAACAAGGAATGCTTTTTTATTTTATCCCCTGTGAATGACCTTGCCAGAATGCACTAGCAAATGAAAAACCACAGTAGTAGATATCCTTTAAGGTGAATATAAAAGAATGCAATTAACAGTGTGGCCTAGCCTTATACACAGGATGGGAATATTGGACGAATGATCGTCAGGTTTTTTTTTTGCATGCTAGTCTCATATTGAAAACAAATAGGTTACTAGAATTATGAAAACTCTAGTAAGACAAAATACAACTCCCACGATGATGTAATGTATTGTATTGTGTTGTAATGTATTCTTTAGTTTCCGAGCATGTGATTTTTTACAGTACAATAATGTACTGATTATACAAAAATTGCTTGTTCTGCTATCGTACACGGAAACTTAATAGTGAAGGAACTGTTGTGATCAGCTCTCGAATGCTGTGTAATAACAATCAGATTATCAGACGATCACTCCGAAAGTTGTATTTTTCGTCCGATTTTCTCATCGTGTGATCTAGGCTTTAGGCCCTGTCTAACCATTGACCAGTGTGGTAATAAGTACAAAGTTTGCACAAAGCGGGGCCTTTGGTATGTGTTTCAGCACTTACACTCCAAACAAGGGTATTTGAAATTATGGAGTTTGAGAATTGCTCCCAAAGTATTGTAAAAATTCAGAAGATGAAAAATGGTGATGCAGATGGGAAGAGCTCTGCTGGTGTCAGTAAACAGCTCTCACAACTTAGATGTCATTTCAGTGTTCTCAGGTCAGTACTCTGTTCCCTGATGGACCCTCCTGTCTGCTGGATGAAAGTGGATGAAAGACAGGTAGCACTCTCTCTATCACAATGGAGTAGACAGGAGGTAGGTCTCAGTTTCTGGCTACAGCTCTCTCTTTGTTGGCCTTTGTGCTACTGGCATATCTCTGAGTGGGTCAGTCAAGAAATAGCCTGCAATTTCCTCTTTAGCCTGAACTCTCCTCACTGGTGGGCTCATGGGTTCTCTGATACCTTGGGTTTTTTTTCCCTACACAGTGTCTTTCTCCCTTTTCAGCCTTCCTTCAACTCCCCTCCTATGCACTCCATACAGTCCCTCAGTGGGGCTTCCTGCAGCTTTCATTCTCTTCAGACTGTCCTCTGTTGCACCGCATCTCCCCTAATCTTGTGTGCTGGTGGATGGAGATCAAGTCCAGGCCATCAATGAGACCAATCTCTATCCTCTCCTCTCCTTTCCGCACTATCCTATCATTGGCAGGGAGACAGCACAGGCTACCATGCAGCTTGTGGCCTTGTGGCTAATAAATGGCTAGACTGTTTGGCACCTACAACCTAAAAGGGCTGCCCCGGGGCTATACATTCCCTCCACTGAAAATCTTTGGTCCCCAAAAAAGCATTTGTTTTAGTTACAAACTAGCTAAACATATCTTGTAACTAAATTTACCTTATAAATGTTTCTGACACAAGATGCGTGCAGTGGAAATTCCCACCATTATGTGTTGAGTATAAGGTAGGAAGTATCACATTGAGTATCAGTGGTGATGGCTTTATCTGAACTATTTCCTCTAGAATCATGGGTCAAATTATTTTCCACTAGGACTAGAAAGATATTTCGATTTTTCCTTAGGAATCCTAGTGTACATCAGGTAAAGTGGTTGGTCACTACCAGGACGATTCCTTGTCCACTCATGTGAGGCTCCAAGCACAGGAAATTAGTGCACACCAACTCCATGGGACCTTGGCTCTATGGCTGGCCCAGTGAAACCTTTAGATCCTAAGTGGCCATGTTTATCATGAAGAGCTATTATAACTGTACTTCTCTGTTTTTCAGATAGAAACAGCTGCAATTTTTCTCAAGATCAACACAACAGAATGGTTAGACATTAGTGGGGTTCTTTCTCTTTATCTCTTTTTAATTCATCTTGCTAAGGATGGGTAGGACTCCATCTTAAACTTAAGTGGAACTTTAGGTTAAAAAAAATGGATGAATATGCAGGATTTTTAATGCAGAAGAGCCAGGTTTTTTCTCTACTGCATTTAAGCTACTTACCTGCCTGTCTGCATTTGTACAGTGAATACAGCTCAATGTACAAATTTGGCACCGTTGAATCTGACTGAACTCCCATGCATGCACGGAAGTGATTTCATCTCTGCCGGAGACTGAGTCCTGGAAGCCAGCTGCCTGAAGATGTCAGCTGCCAAGAGGGGAGCTCAAGGACACCACAATGCTGGAGCGTGAGATGAGTATAGTTCACCTTTAAGTCAGGTTGTAGTAGAGCTTGGGGATTCCTGTAGCAGTAACTCCAGTGATGTTGATGATAACCCTGTTGCTCCACAGGCTTGATGTTCGAATCCATGACACAGTCCTAGATTCCCTACGGTATCAATTAAGTCCACCCTTCTTCTGTGGCTTCAGCATTGTATGGCTTCCTGGACAAGACATCAGCATCTCTGTTCCCAACTCTTGGTCAATACTTTAGGCTAAAACAAAATCCAACCAAAGCTGCCAACCAGCAATGCAGTGAGGCGGAGCCAGGTGCTGGTCACTGGCTCTGTGATGTTAGCCAACAGCGGGCTTTGGCCCACTTTTGACTGAAAACGGGTAACAGCAATCCAGAAGGAACTGCACTCCAGAGATCCACAGGAGAAGTACAGCCAAATGAGCTTTGGTTGTACTTCTCCTTTAATAATGCTTTAAATGAAACAATAAAATGCAAAATTCCATTAAACAGCATGTCTGTGGGATGCCCTGAACCACCTATGAAGTTGCACATCTGTAAAATATGTAAACAAACTTCTACAGCAAAACTGACACATACAAAGAAAAAAGTGAACTTTAAATTGATGACAAATGACAGTTCCACTTTATAAGTCTTACTTTGTAAAATAGTTGGGGATTCCCTTTATCCCTCTGGGAGTCTACTGGCAGAGCCTTATTGGAATCAGGAAGCCCCCTTTGCCCTCATTATTTGAATGAGTAAGAAGCACATGGCACACTTACTCATTCATAAACGAAGCACCAGGTCCACCCTATACCTATATTAGACCCTGTATTGTGAAAAAAGTAAAGAAAATAAACACATTGACACAAAAGTAATTTCTTTAAAAAAAAAATGTCCAACAAAGTAACACCATTGTCAGTCATCCACGTTAATTACAATGAACAGCACCCAATGCCCACCAAAAGTAAAAACACACCAGCTGCTGACACAATCTGTTTTCGATGACTGCTTGCCACAAATGACAGATCCCTAGCTGACATTCAAATATAAATAAAGGAGGGGGACATACTCAGTGACATCACTGTCCAAATATGGTCAAATGGGATTCACCGTGATAGCAGTAATAAAATTTGATCTTGTACATATTTGGTAAATTATGTCACCATACCCCATCATGATCTTTACATTCCCCTGCAGGACCCCAGAACCATCAACATGAAGAGCAGTTGCTGTGATC